AATTTATTTATTAACTTTAATTTATAAACTTGATGTACATGAGAGAGAGAGAGAGAGAGAGTTTTGAAACATTTACTATTTTTAGATCTAATGAAGTTTTTCTTACGTAAGAAACATATCAATTAATTGTCCAATAAGTCCAGTATTTGGGGCAATGAGTGGTGTTTGCGATACTTCACAAATAGCTCTTTGAAGACAACTCCGGCCTAACGTTGAGTGACTTATTTCTATTGTCTTTTGTTTTCATAAATAAAATAACAAATAATTTAATAAAATGAATAGTTTTGTAATGTATATAAGGATACATTATTGGTGCTAAAAGTTCATTAGTTATGCTATTTTCAAAACAAACAATTTGCCGGAAAATTACTTATTAATTCATTAATGAAATAAAAATCATTAACGCTTAATTAAATAAATAATTAATTAATTTACTTATTGAGTGTTGGGTTAACCAAACTATACTTTGGTGTTAGCCTTATAAACATTATACATTGTTATACAGTATATCGCAGATAATACAGAATATTTCACTTTTATTTATATAATATTTATAACATTTACGCTTAATTTGTATAACAAATAATAATTATAATCAATTATGTCTAGACATACCTTATATAATTGAGATCTGGCCTGAAATCGGCTACTTTTCGCCAATTTATTTTGGAAATATAGACTATCGTTGCCTTTGCCGCCAATATTGTCAGGTAAGACATGAGACCCATTGTCAACAGTGGAAGTGTTAGAAGTGTAAGAATCCATAAGATTACCATCATTATCAAAGACAACATCACCACCATTGGTGCCAATATTATTAGCATTAATACTTGTATGTGATTTAGTTTTGGCCATATGTTGGTCGGCATTTGTAAAGCCATTGACATAAGCTATATTGTTATTTTGCAAATAGTTAAAAATTAATTATATTTATTGCAATGAAAGTGTTGTATCAAAATAATGTAATTAATTCCATACCCAATAATTGAGACAATGATAGACCAAATGAATTGAGATTTTTATTCAAACCCTGGGCTTTGGTAATCAACAGTTGTTTAATCCATTCGGACATCAGCTGAAACTGTGACTGAAATCTCACTTTAATAGGCAATCCGATGGACAGTCCGGAGGCCACACTACCGGTCAGTTCGTACGGCACTTGCAGTTTAGGAGTTATTGTCAGCACACCGTTACTAAATAGAAATAACCTTTAAAAAACATCAATAGTTAACATCATGATCATTTTCAACAGTAATATCCTAATAGATTAATACCTTTGATACTGTTGTGGTCGTGTAGTGTTAGCCGAGACACTATCTTTCGCTTTGCCTTCAATACCACTTATAATGCATATTAATGTCAAACATGTAAATACTAAACGTGTATTAAAACCATTGGCTTTGATGTATGAGATTATGTTTGATATGAAAATATCTCTGGAAATATACATCACTTTATTTATCAGAAATGATATTATTGTTTAATAAGTTATATATTGGAAAAATACAAAATCGTTAAACAAAAAAGTCACACCACTGTTTTATATACCTCGTCAGAAAGTGGTCAGTAATTTGATTAATGACTATACAGTTTGGATCAACAAATCCCTCAACAATAAAACGTGTGAATTTAACACAAATTTAGGACCTAAACAAGTCATCAATGATTTTACAATTATTTCAGTTTTTAGGTGTCATTGAATGGGAAAATGTTTTTATGAACTCTAACCCCATAGGGATAGGTTGGCTACAATTCGCACACAGTTTGTGTACTTTTATAACGAGATAATAAATTAATTCACTAGTGATTGAGTGTTACTTTCAATGTATCTGGTCTTTAATGTCTAAATGAACTGTTTTTGAGCTATCAATTAACGAAATCTTAAATAATTAATATGGTTTTTACCTGAAAACCATATACTGTACACAAGTAGTGGTCAAATTATTTGACTCAAATAGCTAAAGTGCACGTTTAATTAAAAGTGTGATAAACTTCAATATAAAATGGTATAACTGTTTGCGAGTTAAGTAAATGTACAAAAGGTAATTTATTCAATGTAATTGTAAAGCCCTAAATTGACCCATGATATTAACATTTCAGTTTACTTGACCCGTTGCATAATGTTAGATCGGGCTGAATCATTGTTTTTCTATATAATATTTGTTTGTGGTAATTTTTCCTCTTAAATGACTAAACGTTTTATTTAACAAATATTTTTACGTTTAAACATGTTTATTTTAAATAGTTTTAATATTCAAATTAAACTTCAATACATTTTATTAAAGTTTGAAATAATATAAATTAAATAAAACTATAACTATTTCTATTTAAATGTTTATAAATTAATCTAATGTATAATAATTAAATAGAGTTTATAATAATTAAAATTAAATAATAAATATTAAAAAACAAAATAATTAAGTAATACATTATAAATAAGTACAATATTTGAGTCCATAATACGGACTGTAGAATTAGAAATTAAAAGTATTAACACAAAAATACGTGCAAACTTTAATTAAGCTAAAATGTCGATTATAATTATAGACTACATAATTGTTTTACATCTAGACGTAATATCGATCTAATAATGTGCATAATAATAGTGTGGTTTATGATGATCATAGTGGCCATGACTGTGACCATGTGTGCCATACGAGCCGTGACTGTGGCCGTGGGTCTGATGACCATCAGCTATAAGAGAGATGGTAAGCATACATGACATTAAAATTAAATTAAAATTTTAATTACAATTAAAAAACAAATAATTATTATATAAAATAATGATAACAATTACACGAATGAGATCCATGAGCGCCATAGGCCTGGTGTCCGTGCGCTCCATACTGATCATGATGGTAATTGCGCCCGTGGTCTACGTGGTTGTGCTGTGCATGACTGGCCCCGTAGTTATTGTGTGCTTTCTTGAACCTTTTATTATTAATTAAATTTACAAGGTATTATTTTTTAGCCTATTTTTCATTTGTTTTCATTTTTTATATCATCTATTTTTTTAAATAAAAAATTTAAAAAAAACTATTTTACAAAAAATATTATTATTTAATAAATGTAATAATTCTGATAACTATGTGATCTGTTTGTAAACTGTATTATTAAGTTATAAATAGTATGTAAAATAAATAAAAAATTAAAATAGGATTATGTATTTTAATGTCATGTGTAATATTATAATATTGATTTTAAAATATTAATTTCATTGAGAATTTGAATATGAAATGGCAAAATAATATAATGAATGCCCACCCGTTCTCCTTATCCCACGACCACTTCTTCACATACCCGTCTCCTAATCAATATAAGTAAATACAAGTAATTATTATATTATTTTTCATTTGAATATATACAATATAGTTTAATAAACAAAAGCAAACTCACCTTTATCTTTATGCCACTGTGCCTTATCAATCCAATCGCCGTAATTGGCCGCATGACTGCCGCTCCCATACTTGCCATAGTGGCTACCATGATGTGCGGCAGAATGGCTATCATATCCAGTATTACCTTATTTTTGTGATACAGTTTTAATTATTTATTTTAATTAGGTATTAATTAATTATTTATATAAATATAATAATGGTTTTATATAAGAAATTGTATAAAATATAATAGAAAATATAGAAATAACATGCAGTATACTACACACAAAACTTTTATATTAAAGTAATGAATACTGACCATAATTATTGTGATGACCATGAGCCCCGTGGCCACTGGTATCCCACGCTTTGCTTCAAATTAATTATTTATATATTATATCTTTTTTATACACAATCTGTTTGTTTATCCGTTTATATAATTCAATGAGATGTGACTTATATAAAGCTTAAATGAAAATGTAATTTATCTTATTTTCTTATAAACTAATAATAAAGTATGGAAAAAGCAAAACAACATTTAATTATCACTAATTCTCTGTACTTATTGCAAAATCTCATTAGCATTTCATATCGTAAATGATATATATTTTTATTAACTTTTATACAGACTTAACATAATATTATAGACATATTAGCGATACAAATGATGTTTATATCATCACTGACTTAATAATTTATATCCTCATTTAAATAAGCAAAATATCACAAAATGTCACATCACTATAAATATAGCAAACGCTATAATTGATATTAGATAACACTATAATAAACATACATTTAGACAGTTTTACATACCTATAGTCAGTTTGATGGGTGTGTGCCGTTTGATGGCCGCCATAGCCGTGTCCGCCGCCGTGACCGCCGTGCGAGCCGTGATGTGTGTGCAAGTGATGCGAGTGTTGATAGTGTTTGGGATAGTGTTTGGCGTAGGAATAGCTGTGAGCGGGAGGAGGGCTGGTGTGATGGTGGGAGTGGTAGGTGGGTGTGTGGTGCTGGTGATGGTATGTCGACGATTGGGGGTAATGGTGGGGGTAGTGGTGTTGTGGATAGGGTTGGTGGTGTGGGTAACTGTGCTGGTAGTGATATCCAGCCGATGTGTCCAAGTCTTCGACCGAATAAATAATGGTTTTGCCACTGAATTGATTTGTTGTACTGTTTTCGCTGTTGATTATAGTTATAACACTTAATGATATCAATAGGGATCGCAGACAACACATAATAATTTAAACATAAAACAAAGATTTAGCTTGATAGAAACAAACAACACGATTGAATTTAAACTAACTTTTCAAATCATTTGTATTTTTATTAATATTTAGTTTTTTAACTAAAAATATACGGATTTTGCAACATGTTTTTGAAATAAACCATTTGTGAAGGAATTCATAGTTAAAATCCACGCTTTTATATGAAAGTCAACGAAATATTTAATTAAATATTTGCTTGTATTAAAAAAATACTTTCAAATTAATTTAATTTATTTGTTGTTGTTTTGGAAATCAATGTTAATTTTAAGGAAAGGATTGAATATGATTAATCTGGTTAAACTAATAAAGTAGTTTATAATTAATTATTATAATCAAACCCATAAGACAATAAGTAATATTATTCAATACATTAAAGTAAAATAGTTTATATGTTTTTCCAATTAACAAATTCAGTAAATTATTTATTTAGCGATCAATTTAATGGTCAGTTAAATACAGTACTTGTTTACCACACTATAAATGTCTGCTAAATACTAGACTTATTTCGGAAATGTTATATCAATTGTGAATAAAATGCAATTTTCTTGTTATTTCTTTCATTCAAAGTTTAAGTCAAACTAAAATACACTTTAATTTGTAATGAAAATAAAACATAGTTTAATAAAATGTTTCACAACAACTTACTTTGTATCAAAATCTGGGAAATAATATTTATTTTAGTTAGTAGTGTACATAATTTTCAGTATACAGTATATTAATTCAATACAGTCTGTAGTGATTTTCACTATATAACCACTTCAAGCGTTAAATCAGTAAAAGTAATACAAATAAATAACAATATTTTTATTTTATAAATTGGATTTTGAGAATATTTAATCTGAAATTACGACATAAACTCTAGGTCATTTAGTTAGTGTAAAAACACAGGCTAAAATATTTAATATTGCAAATTGTACTGAATTACTGAGCAAATATTATAATTATTTTTAATGGTTACCTAATGAAATATAAAATTAAATTAACATAGTTGTAAAAATGTTATTTAGATAATTTAAATCTTGTATTAATATTTAACTAAATTTATTACAAGTATAAAGACATAAACTAGATGAAAATCTATCCGGATGAATAGACCAATGCAATAATATTGCTATTGATGTGAATACAGTCGATCACATCCGTAATTGAAACGATGTCAAATATTGAGATTCA